GTGATCCACATAGAGAACAAGAATAACGACTATGGTTTTCTTTTCTTGTGCTGCAAGAATAATGAATTATTTCATACAATTTTCAAACCCGAGCAGCCTATTAATATAAGTCCAAGGGAGCTGGTTCATCTGTTAAACTTAACCCGGTCAAATATTTAATTAATCAAATTCATTAAATCTAGTACATGAATTAATTAATCCAATTAATTAATTAAACATATTAATAAGCAACTCAATTAATTAATTATTTAACACTCGTCAATTAATTAATTGGTAAATCACATTCTTCCATTTTATCAAAATCAAGAATGTCCTTCCATGTGATGTCAGAAGAATAAAAAAATAGAAGTTACGAAAAATTAGTTCTCGGCAAAAATATTGATCATGGTAGATAATCACCTCGGGGGTGTTGATATGAAATGGTCTAGTACCTCGGGGTAGCTCATCTTGGTTGGTAAATATTTAGCCAATATTTAGTTTTCATTTCTTTAAAGTTCTTTTTTCTTAAAATTTATTTTCAATTATATATTTCGTAAGATCCAATAACTTTTATCAATTTATAGTTCTTAGAGCAAGCTAATTTTTATGGGTTTTGAATTTTTCCGATAAATGATGTCAATGTATTCCGCTCAAAGTACGAACCCAAAAAATAATTAAAAATAAAAGAAAACTACTAGCATGTCTATATTATTTATCTTTAATCTTTAGCGTAGAAAATATAAAAGCCAAGAGTCAAAATTTTCAAATTGAATAAAACAAATATAAAAAAATAAAAAATAATAACAAATCAAATAATTTATTATATAACATGCAAAATTAAAAAGATATATAAAAAAAGATTCACACATAACACTTTCAACAATATAAAAAACAAAACGAAACGAAACTAAAATATATAAATAATAAATTATTATGTCCCTTTGGAATTCATTATAATTTATAGGTCCATCTCAAATTTTAATTTTAGCAGCACATTGTATAGAATTCTCAGTTATTATTAACTTATCATCACTTATTTCTAGCAAAGTATAATTTCAATAATTGCTAATGAAATCCAAATAAGCACAAATATCAAGGTTGAATCACTCTTTAGCAATATAATTATTTTTTTCAAAAAAGAAAAACTTGATTAGGCCCTGACCAATAATCTGTGTTATCAAATTTTAGTGTGTAGAACCCCCCGGGGCACATCCAAGTTGGCAAAGGATGGGCACTGCTGGGCTTGCAACCTCAGGGTGGGGAGTTCGATTCCTGGATGGAGCAGCTGAGTGTTGTAATACTCAATTTGGGTGGAGCAGCTTGG